GATACCTATACTTCTCCTTACCTTCTTTATACACGCATAAAAAGTAGTAATACTTCGTAAATTTAGGTCATTCTCATGGGTAAAATTTTTTAATAAGAAACTTTTTTTCTTAATTTTTCCTGAAGTTAATTACTCTCCGCCATAGACACAAGGTACGTTCAAGATTTCTAGTTTGATTTTAAATAAAAGATTTAACTTTTTCTTGCCTCCTGTATTAGTTATTTCTTTTAATGATTCATTTTTTATTAAAATATTTTTATCTTTCAAATGGAATTCTGATCATTAAATGACAAATACATTTTTAAAAAACTAAAAAGTGTTATAAATTCTCTATATGTCAATTGCCAGTATCTCTTTTAACTTTTTATTAATTATATAAGTTAGTTAGCAATCCTATTGAGAACAATCTCACTGTATAATCTGGACGTTTCCATCTGTGTAACTTGAAAGATTTCCTAATTCCTCCGAAAGAACATTCGCGAAAACTTGGGGTCCGTCAGGAAATATCACAAAACCGACCTAAAAAATACTAGATTTCTAGATTTCTCCCTCCTCTTTCTTTAAATACCAGATGTCTCCCCCGACCGCTTCCATAGAAAACACGATCGAGTTCGTGATTCAGCAGCTACTTCATCGGAGCACTTTCTACTCTTGCCTTCAAATCTTATTCTGCTTCCGGTCCGAAGGTCGAAGGTTAGAAAATGTCGTTGATTCCAAGTTTCTTTGCTGGCCGAAGGAGCAGCGATTTCGAACCATTCTCACTCGACGTCTGGGATCCCTTCAAGGACTCTCTCTCAACATTTTCTAGGGAAAATTCTGCGTTTGTGGGAACTCGAATCGACTGGAAGGAGACGCCGGAAGCCCACGTGTTCAAAGCAGATCTTCCAGGGCTGAAGGAGGAGGAGGTGAAGGTGGAGATCGAAGACGACAGGGTGCTTCAGATAAGCGGAGAGAGGAAGGTGGAGAAGGAAGACAAGAACGAGAAATGGCACCGCGTGGAGCGTAGCAGTGGGAAATTCATGAGGAGATTCAGGTTGCCGGAGAACGCGAAGATGGATCAGGTGAAGGCTTCCATCGAAAATGGGGTTCTCACTGTGACTGTTCCAAAGGAAGAGGTCAAGAAACCTGAGGTTAAGGCCATTGAGATCTCTGGTTGAAAGGAATGAATTACATAATCTCTGCTTTCCGGGCTGGTATTTCTGAAGGTTCGTTTGTCAAATATGATGTTGTGTGTAACATAAAGCGTGCTATTTTCTGGCAATAATCTTGTTGGGATGGATCAGAAAGATACTAGTGTTTGGGCTTGTCAACTGATGGTGTTATATATATTCACCGAGTGCTTGTGAAAAATACTAGCGTTTAGGCTTGTTAACTGATAGTATTATTGTAAATTTAACTTGTGTTTTGATGTTAATGGGTGTGATCTTGGAATAAAATGTAAGTTCATTTCCCTTTTGCAACTGTCTTTCTCCCTTGTTTTTTTTTTTTTTGGGAAATCCCTAAGCATGGGGAAGAAACAAGAGATGAAATGAATAAGGAACCAGGAAAGCGTGTTTGTTTTCCTAGGTAGATGTCTTCTGTTACTATTTTCCAATTAGTTAGCTAATTTGAGCTAATTAAGGTGATTAGGTTAGTGAATTATGTGTTCTATTATTAGTATATTAAAAAAATTAGTTAAGTTAATTATTGACAATGAATAGGTATTATTTTTTTAAACTACTTTTGCTAATAATATGTATTAGCTAGAATTACTATTTAATGAAACTTTTAACATACATATTTTGAAAAAAAATAGATAAATATGAAAGATAAAATGAATTAGAATTTTATGTTTATGATTAAATTAGAAGTCAAATTAACTTTTATATTAAGAACTGAGGTTATAATAAAGCCTTTAGCTACCGTTAGATGTTGGTTTTTGATTGTCATTACTGGGCTAGCGCTATTTGGTTTGAGTCTTATCTGGGTTTTACGTGCTCGAATCTGCAACGTTTGGATATTCAGTGTTGGCCTGAGAATGTGTTACAAAATACCCTAATCCTATATTTAAGATTAGAGGAGTAACTTTGCACAGACATCTAGATGGCAGGTACAGTTAAGACACATATCCGGAGCTCAAAATCATGTTGCAGGTTCCCTAGCCAGAGCTTCTTTCTTTGATAGCTGTCCGCCTCACATGAGGGACTTGCGTAATGCTGATTGTCTGGGATCTTATCCCCTCTCTAGTTAGTTTTGTGATTGCTTGGGTGTGTCCCTCGTCTTTTATTTTTTATTTTTATTTTAAAAAAAAAACTCTGCGGAGACCGGCCGCTTCATTTGCTGGACCTTGTGCTGCATGTGGGTTTTTTCAGAAACAAGAAAATGCATCATAATGCTGCAGCGGATCCCTTGCATGTGACGTCATCCCAAGAAAAGGAGGTACAGCGTAAAGCTTTGTTTGATGATGTCATCCCAAGAAAAGGATCGACTGTGAGATGGGGTTGCTGAACTAAAACAGACCATGAACCGATTATGCCTTGCAGAGGACGAATGAGCATAAGTGAGTCTGCATCTTCCATCACTTGAGGTGGGTTCTTTTGTTTATCAGAGGGCAGCACATTATTGCTTCTCCACTGATTATGCTTTGGTTATTCAAGTGGACTCCTCCCAGTTTAAGGTAGAGTTGGAAAAATCAGACGAGCTCATTTATGTCCTAAAATCGCTGGGTTTAAAATTTTTTTCTTCAGATGGAAAACAGGCCCTGCAGGACTAGCCATGTAGAGCCAAGAACTTAAAAGGACCGGTCCATTTAGGTCTTCTTTAATAATTTTTTTGTTTTTTTAATTTTTTTGTATAGTTTTCATATTATTAATTTTTTACATTGTTAATGATATTTTAAATATTTAATTGTTATTATCATTTTAAAATTAAATTTCACAGAATGATTTGATTTATTTAGTTTTAGACAATAGTTTGTCTAATTAAATTTTAAAAAAATGGGTTAATTTGGATTTTAATAATGATTTGATTTATATTATATGCGTTGATTTTTTTAAACTGTATATATTTGATAATAGAGTATTTTTATACTTTTTATACTTATATAACTTATGATTCTATAATTTGAATTAGAAATTCATGGATTTCAACAACAATATTTCTCATACTAAAATAAAATAATAGCTAAATTGCAAAATTTAAAAGTAAAATTCCTATAAAAAAGAAAAACTTGATATTTTTGTTACGAAAGAAAATCATACGTGTGAAGAAGAGTAATTGATTATAGTGATGATGAAGTTTCAAAAGATTAATGATAGTGTTTATTTATTGCGCAACTGCACTATAGATGAAACTTTTAGATGTTCTTATCTTGTTAATGAATGTTTTAGATGTTCTTGGATGTTGATAAATATTTATATATGATGATATTTTATATTTGTGACTTAATTTTATTCAGATTTATATCTTTTATTAACAATTTTATTGGTTTATTTTCATTTCTTTTGATAAAAAATATGAGAAATATAAAAAATAGTATTTTTTTTCTTAAATGGGCCAAAAGTCCACAAGCTGACATTGAGCCCATTAGCTTAAGGGACGGGCTTAACAAATTATGGTATTTTTTAAATTTTAGCCCTGTAAGACTGGTCTTTTTAAGCTCGCTAACCCTGAAGAGCCAGCCATGATTTCCACTTCTAATTTAACAGGCTCTTGAATGGAAAAGTGGAATTGCTTCTTATAGCTTGCGCGTAGTGGCTGAAGATCGTAGGTTAATGTTTAGGTGGTTTAAACAGTGGTTAATTTTCGTTTGTTGAACCTTGTAATATATTTCATTGGAAAAAAAAAAATTGCATTTGGGGTACTTTGTTTGCAAGGTCTTCTCATTCCAGTTTGGGCCAAACAATAAGACCTTAACATCGCATAATCATAATTTTGGGAAGTGTTTATATTTAGTGTTAATTATATCCAAGTACTCAATAATAAAGACAACTTCACCTAAGTCTGTTTGCTGGGGCAGAGAAGTCCACTGTTTAAAACGCATTGCATTTTATATGCTTCCAAACCGAACTACGCTGGGAATAAAATGGGATAATTACGATGAAAAAAACAAACGAGAAGAGGAAGAAAATGGGATCAACAGTAAAGTTAAATGGAAAATTGAGGAAAAGTCTTGCACTTAAAATTTTATTGTTGAGAGGTACTCTGTAATTTGTATATAATGAGTATCCGTACTTTGATTTTGGTTATTATTACCGATATATTTTTAAATGAAAGGTCCCGCCCCCAAAAATTTTTCCCAATCAAAAATTTTAATTTGATTTTAAATATAACATCTAATTTTTTCTTATCTCGAATGCTAACTATTTCTTTCTCATGATAGTACATTTTGATTGAAATATTTTTATATCTTCACATTAAATTCTTATCACTAAATGACAAGTACTATTTTCGGTCTTTAATATAAAAACTAGTTAGAAATTATATTTGATCTTAAATACAAAACCTTAATTTATTTTTTCTCAAATTTATAATTTTTAAAAAAATATCTTTATTAATTATAAAGAGTTTTTATCAAATGAGAGTTTCAATACACATGGTTATAAAAGTAGTTTAATAGAATTAACCTATATTTGTTACAGTTAATAAACTTAGCTAATTTTTTTGTCTTTTTAAATTAGTTATTTAGTCTTTATGTTGAGAACCCGAGGTAACATATTTTTTAAAAAAATACATTTTTTGATTATATAAATTAGTTAAAAAAAATCTTATCACGGAAAATACCCAAGCGCGTTGTATAACTGGGCTCCCGGGCCCACGTAATCATCTGGACGTTTTCATCTTTGTCGTCGTAAGCATCACCCTGAAAGATTTCCTAATTCCTCAGAAAAGAAAATTCGCGAAAAGTTGTGGTCCTTCTGGAAATATCAGAAAACCGACCTGGACAATACTAGATTTCTCCCTCCTCTTTCTTTAAATACCCGATGTATTTGCGGGTCGTCACCGTGGCAACGCAATCCGGTTCGTGAGTCAGAAGCAACTTCAGCGGAGCACTGTCTACTCTTTCCCTCAATTCTTATTCTGGTTCAGGCCCCAAGATTAGAAAATGTCGTTGATCCCAAGTTTCTTTGGTGGCCGAAGGAGCAGCGTTTTCGATCCATTCTCACTGGACGTCTGGGATCCCCTCAAGGACTCTCTCTCAACATTTTCTCGGGAAAATTCTGCATTTGTGGGAACTCGAATCGACTGGAAGGAGACGCCGGAAGCCCATGTCTTCAAGGCGGATCTTCCAGGGCTGAAGAAGGAGGAGGTGAAGGTGGAGATTGAAGATGATAGGGTGCTTCAGATAAGCGGAGAGAGGAAGGTGGAGAAAGAAGACAAGAACGAGAAATGGCACCGCGTGGAGCGTAGCAGTGGGAAATTCATGAGGAGATTCAGGTTGCCGGAGAATGCGAAGATGGATCAGGTGAAGGCTTCTATGGAAAATGGGGTTCTTACTGTGACTGTTCCCAAGGAAGAGGTTAAGAAACCTGAGGTTAAGGCCATCGACATCTCTGGTTGAGAAGAATGAAAAATTAGTGGCAATCCTCTGCTCTGTTTCTGGATTTATATATTCACTGAGTGCATGTGAAGAATACTGGTGTCTAGGTTCGTCAAGTGTTAATGTTATTGTAAATTTAACTTGTGTTTTGATTTTGATGGGTGTGGTCTTGGAATAAAATGTACGAGTAATTTCGTTTTCCTTTTGCAACTGTCTTTCTTTCCCTTGTAAAATTTTTTCCCCCCCGAAATCCCTCAGCAATCGGGAGAGACAGGTGATGAAATGAACAAAGAACCAGGAAAGCGTGTTTGGTTTACTAGGCAAAAGTGCATAGTAATATTTCGTATGAGGCAATTAGTTTAGTTGAGTTATTAGTAACGAGTAGGCGTTATATTTTGTTAAATATCCTCGCTATTATATGAAAATTAAATTAAAAATTAAATTAATTCTTACAATATTAAGGAGGTGTTGTCTTCTAATTATATGTATTAGTTTTAACATATAAAAACTATAAGGAAATAGAGAAATAGGCCAGTCAAAGGAAGACCAGAGACTGGGGTCTTCCGTTTAAAATTAAATTAAATGTCAAAAGGTAATGTTAGATATGATCTTGTTGAGTAGAAACTAATAATTCTTACCTTAATCAAGTTACTTCTTTTTGACCAGGTACCTTAATCAAATTACTAAGCCTAATCAAATGACTATAGAGTATGAAACAATGTTTTACTACGGTAAGTGCTAACATGGTGTTTGAATAAAGATAAATTTTCAATATGGCTGCCTGCTGCTTCTTGATCCGTTTTAGGGCCGAAAAGAAATTCTGTAAAAGGTCAAATCTGACTTCTCATTCTCAACACATGACGTGAGATATGTCCCGTCAATGCGTTGACCCGATGACGAACTTGCCTTCAGTTTCTTAATAATCCAAGCAAAACTCGTTTGAATTTCATCAATCGTTATTTTCATCTAAACGTTGTTTCCTTTGTTTCAGTTCCTTTTTCTTCCTGTGTGAAGTTAGGTGGTGGGTGGTCCTCCTGAGCTCACCCGCTTTGGTTGGATCTATTTTCTACCATTACTTACTTACCTTCTTTAGCATCATTTTCATTACTTACTTACCTTCTTTAGCATCATTTTCATCGCCGGTCAATTGTTATGCCTTTCGTCGTCCCCTGTAAAACTTTTCCAAAACCCATGCAGTATCATTTTTCTCGGAAAGCAAAGGTAGCCCGGGAAAAAAAAAAAAAAAAAGCAACAAGGGAAGATTTAGTCAAAGATTGAGTAATCCAGAATATCTCGATCCCCCGGATATTTTCTTCTTCATCGTCCTTCATGCGGAAATTACCAAACAAATTGGGTGTAGCGTCTTCCATTTATGAGGTGGGTTTGTGTTGATGGGTAATGTTACGGGAGGCGTGGCTGCGAAATTCGCATTTTTCCCGCCAGACCCACCAACCTACGACGTTCACAGAGAGCCGGATGGGAGGATTGTCTTCTCCGGCATTGCCGCCGATAAGAACCTCGACGTTCATCTGATTGAGACGAAGAATGGCAATAATGTTGTGGCCATGTTTTGGAGACACCCTTCTGCGAGGTTCACGATTTTGTACTCTCATGGTAATGCTGCTGATATGGGTCAGATGCAAGAGCTTTTCAATGCGCTCAGATCTCATCTTCGTGCCAATATCATGGGGTTATCTTTCTATTTTTAACTTTCTTCTTTCTCCACCCCCCCCCCCTTCAAATTGTTCTTTGATTTGGATTTCATATAATGAAGCAGGTTAATGAGATGCTAGTCATAATACTTGCACAACGATATACAGTTTAGTTGCCTTTTGGTTAATTTGAAATTTGATACGTTCCCCTCTCTCTGACTCCCTGCTTCTGCGTCAGCAACGGTTTCGTTCTGCTTATGCAAATTTTGTTATGTTTTTGACGTCACATTTCTGTTCTCTTTAAATCGTTTCTGCTGACGGAATTCATTTCTTTTCCCTAACTCAGTTTGCTAACTGAACTCTTCATATGTTTTGATTTAGTTATGGTTCTTACTCATACCAGATAGAAAAGGGTAATTCATATTTGTTTCAGAATGCTTGCTTCTAGCCTGCTCTAGCTTCTTCTCCTTTTCCGTTTACGAAATGTTTGTTTTGTTTGGCCTGGCAGCTTCTAGGATCCTAGATTTTTCATCAATTTGAAGGATACATTTAGAAGTAGTTTCTTACCCATTAACTTCATGTAACTTCTATGTTAAATTGCAGGTACGATTACTCGGGATATGGAGCATCTACGGGCAAGGTAAGTAATCTGAGTAATTCCCTTTTGTCCCCTGTTCTGTTCTGTTCTTTATCCTGCTTGCAAATGAATGGATTCTCATCGATTCTTCATTAACCGGAAGTTAGTTTAGCCCGTCCAGTGTTCTGATGTTTGGGAGAAAATGATCTATATAAGAAAGCAAGATTCTCAATTCCGTTTGGCTTTTCTGTTTTTCTCTGACTTAATCTAGTGTTCACTGGTGAGTTTCAGTGGTTAATATATGATTTTCTCTTTGTCATAGCCAACGGAGTTCAACACATATCACGATATAGAGGCTGTTTATAATTGTTTGAAGTGCGATTATGGAGTTAGGCAAGAAGATTTAATCTTATATGGTCAATCAGTTGGAAGTGGCCCCGCTCTACACATGGCTTCTAAATTACCGAGGTTGAGAGGTGTTGTTCTTCACAGTGCCATCCTTTCAGGGATAAGGGTTTTGTACAATGTCAAAGTGACGTTCTGGTTTGACATATTCAAAGTAAAGTTTTCTCTTCTGTGGCATTCTTCATTGTTCTTTAGTCTGTTGTATTCTTCAGAGCCCTGAGCTTTCTACTGACAAAGGATTTATTCTATCATTGCAGAATATAGACAAGATACGGCATGTCAACTGTCCTGTGTTAGTTATACATGTACGTATTTCTTCCTTCCATGCTTCTGATCTTTTGTTGCTCAAGGGTTCATTCCTGGGGCTTCTCTTTTGAACTAAGGGCAATCTCATGTACTGTTTCTAGTGATGATAGCTTATCGCATTACATAAGGCAACAACATTATCTAAACTGCCTTTGGAATGTCTGCCATACCTTTTTGGCATGTAAAATGCAACAGACATTTTGAATGCCATTTGAAATGTTTGCTGTACTTTTTGATAGAGTGCTTTTGCTAGATTACAAAGTACTAGTAAAAGCTAATTCTCTGGTTAAGTGTGCTTGAGTAAGAAAAATATCAGGATAGGTGACTTCTTGAAAAGTTCTCGTGTCACAGTTCTCTTTTTAGCCAATGACTTTGTAGTCTAGTGACATGAAAGCTCCCTTATAAGTTGGAGGTCACTAATTACTGTTTGTAACCTTAGACCTTTAATGGCTACCCTCTAATTTAAAAATCAAATTACTACTAAATGCGTGTCGTCTCAAGCCTCAAAAGTGACATGGTGTAGTCTTTGACGAAGTAATATGTCATTCAAGTACTAGTAACACTAGTTTTATATGTGCTTCATCATGCAGGGAACAAACGATGATGTAGTTGATTTTTCACATGGGAAGCGACTGTGGGAGCTTTCAAAGGAAAAGTATGATCCTTTGTGGGTGAATGGTGCCGGACATTGTAACATAGAAACATTTCCAGAGTACCTGAAGCACTTGCGCCAGTTCTTAAGTGCCATGGAGAAACTACCAGTCCCAACAACACAACCAGCAACTCCAAATCGTAGTTTTTCTCAAAGTAAGCATGGAAAATGCTTGGGTTTTGGTTTCAGATAGCATAATTATTTAGAGAAACTGACAAATGTGCAACACCCAAATCCTATATCATGCTGAGTTTGTGTATAAATAAACTGTGCCAAATCTATCATCAGCCCCATCTCATTTTGTCTCTCTGCAACAGAGAATCCAGACACTGCCCAATTAGCCAAAGTTTTAGGTTGGAAGTGTAAATGAGTGTACCAAATTTGACTATTTAAGTGTCATACTGAGTTGAGTTTATGTATATACTATATAGGTGGTCATCATAAGGAAAGAAATTTATTATTATTACTATTGTTTTCTGTTTTGGTGTGGGCAAGGCTAGATGAATTATTGAATATCAAAGGCTTTCATTTTTTTTTTTGAAAGTGTCAATGGTTTAAGATTAGAAGTCCACGGTGCAAATACTAATTAATTATCCATGTTCTAATCGTCATTGTCATCAAGGATCAATACAAATTGGGATTATGGCTTTTCTTTTTCTTTTTTTGGGAGAATCTTGGTCCAGTTGGGCATTGGCCATTATAACTGGCTCTCGGAATGATCAACTAATTCAATGACTTTTGGACGTATGGGTCAAACTTCCAAGATCCGCCGGTGCACATATAAATTTGATTGATTCAAGTTAGATTGGATGGTCTAAAATGCTACTTTCGGTCCTAAATATAAGAACTAGATGATTAATTTGAGTAGATTACGAAAATAAGTTAAATTAGTTATTTATAATAAATAAGTTTTTTTTTTAAAAAAATATCCTTGCTAATAAAGTGCATTGACTACAACTATTATTATTAAAAGGACTACCTTGAAAAAAATGCATAAATATGAGAAACAAAGTAAATTAGAGTCTTATATTTAGGACCAAACTAAAAATCAAACGAGATCTTATATTGAGGACGGAAGGTAGTACTATTTTTAATTATGATATATTTTTGAAAAAATATGTAAAATTAATTAAATATGTTTTTGAATAATATTCTTTTAAAAAATTATTTAATTACAATTTACAAATTACAAAATATAACATATAAATAGTTCATATATCTTTCTAGTACATAGAAAATTGCAAGCTTTTTATTTTTAGACACAAGTACCTTTTTATCGGAGGCTTCAAGGTGCTGTCGGGCATCAAAATATGAGCATCTCTTTAAATGAGGATTGGAATATTAATTCACTAAAGTTATGGGGAATTGATCCCCTTTGCTAAACTCAAGAAAATCCCAAACTGAAAGCTTTAACCATTAAACTCAACGTTATCCTTTCCCCACCAAAACTACCGGATCCATTAATGGAGATAAAAATGTTTTTTCATTGAGTGATGTATTTGAGTAGCCAATTTTTGCTTCTATTCACAAGCTTCTTTTAAAATCAGAGAAGCTATATTATCATTTACTAATTTAAGGTGTGGAAGAAAAATGAAGGCCCAAAAACAAGTTGTTGGAAGGCACGAATTTTTTTAAAACTTGTTAATATACTGCGTTTCCTGAAGAAACTTGCATTTTATACAGGCAAATCATAACTTTTCTGTTAGCTTCTTATCTTGACAGTTTGATGGCTACAACATTCGAACAAAAATATTTTTTAAGCATTAAAAACAAGTTGGCGGAGCTGAGGAACTTTGGAGGTTCTTTCTGAAATGGAGAAGGAAGAAGGAGAGTTAATTTTTGGGATTAACTTAAATGATAACTTATTATAATGATTGGCTTCTGAAAAATTACTTGAACATGAATGAAAAATTAGCTGTAGTCCTTTTATTTATCATACGAGGTCACATTACAAATTTTTGATGCATAGAAGATAAAGAAACCAAAAAAAAAAAAAACATCACAACAAAATAACAACAGAAAACTGCCCACATAAATAGAGGGCGATCATGTTACAAACACAGTGCGCCAACTAAATTGTAAACTGCCAGTTAGATAAAGCATGGTTCATTCTGATACAGCACAACACGCTTCTTCTTGTTCCAGGTTTAGTCGGCAAGCAACGACTCCAATAACTTTGCATTACGCAGCAACGTCCTTTATCATTTTTTTTCTCAAGTGCTATATGCATTGAATGAAATGACTTCTGAAACTCAATTCAACTCAGTGAGCTGTGCTCTCCTTTCTGCAGCTCTTTTTCTGATAAATATTCCCCACCTTAAAGCAGCTTTGAGCTTGAGCCATCCCACCACTGCCTTCCCTGAAGGCTTCGTGTGATCCTCACTAAAGGTTTGATATGTCTGAGGTTCGTACTGCAAACTGTAGGAATAACAAGCATCATTAGGATGACCAAAACCAACATTAAGTGTCTTAAGCAACCTCTGCATATCATCACTCTCTAGCATCTCTGAACTCCTAAGACGGATTTCCTCAGCCACAATGTCTTCCAGTCCTTGCCCACTTCTCTGTCGAGACCAGTCTCCCGGGAAATATGCAGCCTCAACTGCAGGATTTTGACTTGCCATGTAATTCATGCTGCCAGTCAATGCTAATTGGGAGTCATTTGATGCTGTCCCTAAAATCTGATTATCAGTTTTCCCAAATGCAGACGAATTAGCAGCATAAGAGTTGTTGTTTTGCATTTGGAAGTGTTGGTTTGGTTCAGGCGAGACATACTGCAGCCTATTCTTCGCAGAAGCATACTGATGTTCTGTGACATGGTTAGTGTGATGTACTGTAGGTTGAGCTGCAGTTCTTGATCCATTTTTGGAATTTGTAAAAGAACTTAAAACCTTGCCATCATATTCAACAACTTGGTTCCAATTTTCATAAGCCTTCTTCACCAATGAATCTACAGACATCTGTAATTCAAATTCTCATTAAATGATCTAAATGTAGAAGAGATGGTCAAATAGTCATGTTGATTACAGATCAAAGCTAAGAAGAATACAAGATTGATCTGGAATATGCATCTTCATCAATCGGTACGGGTAAAATTACCTTCTGATTTGGTGTAAGTGATTCCAAAGAGTAGAACTGACCATCAGTTATAAGGCCTCTCAGCTCATATATATCATTGAACACAATACCGATATCAGTGGTCTCATTGGTATAATACACAAACAGCTTACCACCCAAGACACATGTCTTGGCATGCTCCACAGTGTTCTCCCACATTCTATTGGACATTCCACTACCAAGTATCTGTTGTAATGAGAGAAAACAAGAAAGTTGAAAGAATCAAGTATTCTGTTAAAAAAAAAAAAAAGAGAGAAGTACATTTGTGTTTCTGAATGAGCAAATGATATGAAATTCTTACACTTCTCAACTTCTGAGGATCCCTGACGAGAAGACGAAGGAAATCCTCCACAGTTACAATATTTGCTTGAATCAATTTTTTGTGCAGTGCCCCATCCTTTGCTATACGATCCAGTCTCCAAACCTCATCATGCAAAGCAGGTGGATAGTGTTTCTTGTATACTGCATATTGCAGATAATGTAAATCAACATGGGTTACTAAGGGAATTCTATTATGATGCTTTTAGAAAAGCTTAAATAGTGACAAAAAGCAGAATTTGAATGTCCGTTCCCCAAGCGGAGAAATCAAGATCCTCAACAATATACAGCCTTGCATGTTAGTATTGATGTAAAATGTAAGGATGCCAGGCAGAAGTTCACAGTCATAAACTATTGATACAAAATTTTTAATCTCTACCTTTGTATTTTCAGTGATTCAGTACCTGAGTCTCAAAGAACACGCCTGATATTTTCCTTTTTAAGCAGAAAATAAAGTGGTTACTGTTAGAAAACTCACATTCTCCTCTATGATCTTTAACAGCAAACGCGTCAGTCTTGCCCTCACGAACACGGATCTCCTCACAACAACCAGAAGCCACCTTAATGCCAATCCTGAATTTTCTGCTCCTTATCCAACTAGAATTGTCAGTGAAAGAAAGATCTCCCAAGGTTCCCACCCCTTCCTTCAATATAACCTGCAAATCTCCAGTTAGAAGTGGCCTTTTCCCCTCCCTCTCCTTTACTTCATGGCTTTCAAAGTGTTCTTGTGTCCATTCATCATCAGACTCCTCATTAAAATCGCCTTCAAGTACAACAATGTTCAATTTCGCAACCGATAATGGTCCAGTTTGGACCACATGGCCTGTGTTAGGATCTACCACCACAACATGAATGGCTCCGCCTTGCTCTCCCTCAACCTTCCCGCCAGTGAACAAATGTGGTGGCATTCTTGTTCTGAAATGAAGCTGCAGATTCTTTGCCCCCGGCCCTTCAATGCTCGGCGGTGGAGATCTGACACAGGTAAAATGTAACCGATGAAATAATGCAAGAACAATATTCAATAGGAATATCATTTTATAGAATTTTGCACAAATGAGTTTATATGATAATGATAAGAATCACATGAGCTCAAATCTCGATGTTTAATATTTTCATTTAGTTTCTGCCGACAAAATATTCATAACTGAAACAAAAGAACTTTTAGTGCTTCAGTATGATGGGATAACAAACCTTCCATTTCCAACCAGTTTAACAGGGCTCAGTTTCGCCAATGCACGCTCCACTTCTTCACTAACCTAGCGTTCAGGGAATTAGCAGGATAAGCATAGTATTATCAAAAATATTAGACTTTAATCAGATGACTTAAATGTTTACAAACAAGTAAGCAATGGAGAAATTATTAGGTAGATTCCACCAATTACAAATATATCAAGCAAAGCAAGAACAAATATGTAAGCATTTCAATGGTGGATTTCATAGTTCGCTTGGCACACTTGTATATCTGTTTATATAATTGACTTTATCTACTTATCCTTTATTGACCGAATCTACTTTAGATTTCTCATAAGTAATAAATAGATCCAGTAATATAGAGCTACTCTTTTGAAAAGAAAGTGACAGACATACAGCAGTATCTCTCAAGCTCTACCTAAAAAGTTAATAGACCTGCAAATTATGCTCATTCTGCTTTTTCATCCTACTTGATTCATTTGTCTTGACTTTAATTTTGACGAATTCTTACATGTGCCATGAATTTTATTTGTATCTCTCTCCTTTGACTTGGAGAATACACGCTATTCCCCGAAAAAACTTCCATTTTAAGTTCACTTTCTTATTAGAATCAAGTGTTGAAGCCGAGAGCCCATAGCTGACTACGAAATTATAA